TACAAATTCTAGCGTGGTACCACTCAGCGGTTTCGCTGAGCGTGTAGTTTGTATTTTTTTTCGTTGACTACACGTAGGTAACAAGAAGACAATGATGGAACCATTCCCGGAGGGCATTGAGTCAGAGGAGATGCAAGGATAGCAGGCAAATGTTTGATCAACATATTTTAAAATATGTCATGATTTGGTTATTATTGTACTTCCGCATTACTCTGAAAATATTTTTAAATGGGTCGCGATCCAGAGTCTGTAAATTTAATATTTATAAGTAATTGTCATTTTCAAATGTCAAGTGAAATTTTTATTGAACTCTTGTTTCACCATAATTCGTATAATTCCGGGTTATACGGATTGGGGTGTTACAGAGCCTGAATTCTAAGAGCTCTTGCTGTGTCAAGAAGGTGCCTATGTTTCCTTTCCACTACGCCATTTTGTTGAGGAATTTTCACTATGGACCTTTGATGATTCCCTTATCTCCCAAAATTTCAGAAGAAGTAGAGTTAATAATGCACCTAACCTTCGTCTGGTATTGGGTCTCCACCATGTTCAGAAAATTTGCTAACACACTCTTAACTTGTTCTTTATTGTGTAATAGTTGTGTCCAAGTACCTCATGTATAATCATCTACAATTGTTAAGAACAAACTTGTTCCTGTAATATTTGGTTTCCTGTATGGCCCCCACAAATCCACATGTACCATTTGAAAAGGAATAGAAGTAAATGAAACACTTTTGGGAAAGGGAAGTCTATTAAACTTTGCAAGCATACATGTATCACACTGTATTTTGTGATCAGTACAAGTATCATATCCAGACATATGTTTCATTTTTGACCAAGAAGTATGTCCTAGTCTAGCATGGAACAAGTCAAAATTACAAGATGCAGCAGTCATTCCATGCAGTTTGAGACTGTTCCTGTCCTTGTGTTCAGTTCTCAACTTGTATAAACCATGAATTCGCATGCCAATTGCCAAGGACTGTTTAGTTGAAGGGTCCTGAAATATATATTTATCAGGCAGAAAAGTAGCAGTAATATGCTGAGTATCAATCAACTTGCTCACTGAAATTAGGTTGAACTTGAAGTCAGGCACATACAGAACATTCATCAACATCAATCCCAGTGGTAAATCAACGTTTCCTGCTTTAGTTATAGTTTTATGTGTACCATCTGGCAATGTAACAATTATAGGTTTGTCCAAGACATGTACATCAGACAACACATTTTCAAATGGGGTCATATGGTCAGACGCTCCAGTATCAACAATCCAATCAAGTATATTTCCAGTATTCACACTATATGCTTCTGCAATATGAGAATGTAACACAATAGAAGCCATGGACCAAGGCTTACCTGCAAGATGAGCATAAGTGCTCATAAGGCCTGAGTCAGAATCCATTGAAGTGTTGTTGTTTGTCATTAGTTTCAGCATTTCCTGAGCCACATGCTGAACAAAAACTGGATTATGTTGATAGTTCTGTCCTTCACCCCTATGACCATTCATGTCATCAAGGGGGGTGTCAGAACAAGTGTCTTGAGGCTGAGCTGTGGTGTTTCCTGCAAATTTGCTTGCTCCATAATTTTGTTGTATTCTTTTCCCTTTTGCACCTTTATACCATTCTGGATATCCCACTATTTTGAAGCATTGTTCCTTGAAATGTCCAGCCTCCTTGCAATGATCACAATATTTCCTAGCCCTCCTTGGATCTGATGTGTTAAAGTTCCCTGATCTTTGTCCATTTCCTTTGTTAACATACATAGCCATATTCTGTGTATCAGTGCCTTCATTATTTATACACGCTGCCAATTCAAGGCCTAGGCCTTGAACTCCCGTAATGGATTTCTGCCTTTCCACCTGCTGAACCATGCTACATGTCTTGTTTGCTGAAGGAAGAGGATCTATCAACACTATCTGTCCCCTTGGTGTGTCAAAACCATCATTAAGGCCCATCAGAAATTTGTTCAACTTTCTCCTCTGATCAGCTTCCAGAACTTTCTTCTTGGCATCACAGGTGCAACCGTTGCACTCACATACAGGTATAGCACTCATGTTGGCCAATTCATCCCAAAGTTTCTCCAGTTTGGTGAAATATGTGCCTACAGAGTCATTTTTTTGTTTTAGATCTGCGATTTTCTTCTCAATCTGGTATATCAAAGGTCCATTGCTTTCTCCAAACCGCTCCATCAATTCGTTCCACAATTCATGGGAGGAATTTGCATATAGGAACGCCTCTGCCAGGTCTGGTTGAATAGAATTAAGGATCCAACTGAAAGTCATATTGTCGCATCTCTCCCACTGAGCATAGTTCGGAGAATCAGGATCACGCTTCTCGCAGCTTCCATTAATGAAGCCAATCTTCATTTTAGAGATCAAGGAGATCTTGATCGATCTGCTCCAAGGAATGAAATTCATTCCGTTTAACTTTGTGGTCGTAAGAACCATCCCTGGATGGTCTAAGTTGTGTAAGAACAGGGGATCATGTTTGTATGCTTGTTCTTCGCCAGTCGCCATCTTCGCTTATCTTCTGTGCGACGGAAAATCTCACAGGAAGAAATAACCAAGCTCCGATACTATGAAGACGCACATGGAGGTGAAGAAAAGTAGCGAAGAAGATGAATTGAAAATATCTCCAAGTCTCGCGTGTTTACAATGAACGTTACAGAGTATATATAGCTGAGAAAAGATAGGCTAACCAACTAACAACCCAAAACAGATAAGCCTAATAATATGGAGCCAAATAGAAAATATCTGAGTAAAATACCTCGTAAGACCAATATACTCTACAGGGTCCTAAATTTTCTTACCTTTGAGTTTTTACCTCGAGCTAATTCATACTTCGTATCTTTTAGAAATAAACTCAAAAAATATTTTCTATTTAAATCAATGTTTAAACCCAAAGCAGCAAAGAATCAGCGTGGCCGCCAGGTTGCGAGTTTTTTGTGTCAATTTGGGTTTCTAGGGTTTTTCAAGGGATAACCCAAACTGGTTGGGAGTCCGGTTTCCAGATTAATCTGCCCAC